AAAATCTTCCACCAAATAGATGGAAACAACTTCAATTGTAACACACGATGATGAAAAAATCATGCAAGTGTATTTGTGACGCAAAATCATCATTTTGAATTCATGAATTCTAAGTATTCAGAAAATTGTTTTGGTTAAGGCAAGCAAATCCCATCTAAAGACATACCGTTAAATTGTTTCACCATTTATTCAATGTTTTATGCTTCCATGCTTTAATTTAAATTTCGTCTATTAAATCGCGCGAAAGCATTTATGATTCATTTGCGAAATTGAAATTTCAAAATAATTACCCAAATAATGTGAAACGAAAACGACAACACAGCGACGCTGGCTACGCACAATACCGTTAGCTGTTAGCTACAAAGCGATTGAGTAATGGCAAGAGCACACACACACACACAAAGTATATGAACAGACGGACAATAGCCCGTCGCTGATTGGCCACTCCAACGACATGGCACTCACATTTGGCCAATTTTGAAACGAAATTAAATTTGATTGTTTTTTAAATGAGCAGTGCAATGTGGCAGGCAACAAAGCAGGCACGTACGCGTCACTAAAACAACAAAACTATGTAATAATAATAACTGCCACAAACGCAACACATTTCTGTTGTATGCAAATAGCACCAACTGAGCAATAGCTGTAAGAGGCGCGGCAACAATGGAAACAGAGTGGTAAATGAAAAATTGGTTGTGAATATTTCTGGACCATTATGTGTGTATGCATCTGTGTATGCTTATGAGTGGTGGCACGGTGGGCAAATCTGCACATTTGTAGTTCAAAATATAAATAAATTCTTGCATCGTTAGATGACCCAAGGGAAATCCTTCGCAAAATCAGTCATCTCAATTCACCCATTCTCCTTTAGTTAAAAAAAAAACTAAGAAATATTTCTCTACAACGAAACAATCAGGCAGAGATCAAAACTCAATTAAAATCCTTACTCAAGGCTGAGAATCAAAAACTTCTATTCCAGACTTCGTCACACGCGAATTAAAATGGAGTAGAAAAATTAAGAGCTTACTCTCAACGATCCCATTAAGAGCTAAAGGTTCTCAGGGGAGTGCACTTAGCAACTGTAGTGCCATCCAACACTGCATTGCTATTTAGAAGGCTGGAATTTTACTTCCGTGAAAACCATCTTGGATCATACCCTTTCTCAAAACACTGCTGCTCTCCTAGCTGACAAATATCTTCGGAATTTGAAAACTTGTCTGCATGGAGTTACCTCTCAGAGGAACCAAACGTTCAACTACCACAGTTTGTCAAAACGTCTGATACTCTAAAACAAGATCAGCATTCTCGCCTACTAAAAGCTTTACCGAAAATTTTGAAGAAAGTAAGCTGGGTTTGACCTCAGAAAACAACATACAGGCTCCGGTTAATACGAGGAACCTCTTCTGTCCTCAGCGGACACTGTGCAAATGAGCTAGAACAAGCATTATGAAATTTATTTCCGTGCTAGCTCAGCCTAAAGAGCAACAAGCGCTATTTTCAGGCAGTAGCAGCAGAGGCAGCAGTAGCAGCAGAGGCAACAGCACGAACACAATCTCGAGTGGTAGAAGCGCACGCTTCGCTATCTTTGTATGCAGCTACCGCAATCCCTGCTGCCACTGTCACAATGTTTATATGGTATTGGCACTGTTGTTGTGATTAAAACTAGTTATTGTTTTTGTTACCGTTGCAACGATAAAATTGCAAACCAATTGAATATTGACCGAAATCGGCATGAGAGAATTGCAACTGCAAATATCCACAACACACATACACAAACACACACTAGCACATAAAAACACAAGGCCAGAAATTTTTGTTTCTATACACAACATCAACAACAAAAAAATAGTTGCAAACAAAATTAAATTTGCGTTGAACAAAAACAAAATTCACCACGTGCTGCCTCATTAGCGGAAATAGAGTGGCTTGTCGTGGTGGACTGCGCGGTCTGGAGAGGCGTGCAGGGACATAAGTTACTATAACGGTTTGGTAATAGATTTAGTTGTGTGTCGTTTATAACTACACAAGCCGCGCAGCGCAGACTTTGGCAGCACACTCACCCGACTCTGTCAATATGGTCTCGCAGCCGCTGAATTTAGTATGCCTCATGCAACCCACACATGCTTTTATAATATTAGACCATCGCCACATATACATATTTATTATGTCCACCATTGTTGCATGCAACATTTAAGCGCAGAATTTTTAACGGGGTGTTTGCTTAAATTCTCATTAGCTGGACCGCAGATGAGGGAAAGCTATTAAATTTGCTGTAAATATTTTGGAGCTTCATGCTTATATTTTTAGAGATGTCGGATATACGAGTATATACGAGTTTAATGGCGAATATATATTTTTATATTTAGCGCCCGCTCCCATAATTAAGTTAAAATGAAAAATTTAAATTTATGGCAGACAAGGTTTTAACTTAATATGAGTAAAATTATCTGTAAGGTTGTTAGAAGCTCTTGCTTTCGCCTTCCTTCCATTGCTTGGAAAAAACATTACGGCGAGCACCATAATTTTTTTACGGGTAACTCGGAAAGGTCGACTTCTAATCATTTTCTGGCCTGAAAATATAATTCTTATCCTCTGCTACTGCCGCTATTCACAAGCGACCAAATATGAATCGACCGAGGGGATCCGATGAAATTATCGTGGCCGTAAAAGTCAGTATTGAGACGTCACTACAAATGTCAGGTTCACCAGATTTGTCACTGCTGGACTTTTTTCTTTGAGGCTACTTGAAGTAAACGGTTGATATCAGAAGCCATAGGCACTAAATGAATTAAGCCCAATATCGCACGAGAAGTAGCCGTTGGCCATGTCAGCCGAGGCATTTAAAGAATCACAAAAAAGGTTCATTGCGCTATCAGAGCTCGAGGCAACCACTTGCGCAAATTCAATTTCAACAAACGATGTAATCGAATTTTCTTCAACGAACTTAAGTGATTTTACCATCGAATACAAAAAATGTGTTTTTTCATATTTTTTTTTTTTAAATGACCAGTCCTGTGTTTTATATCAAGTATGAAAAGCCTCGGAAGCCACCTGGACTAACGCTTTTGCAGTTTTCAGCATGAATAAACCACAGGAACTCTCCATCAACCTGGTGCAAGCGTTGACTCATGAAATATTCCTCTCTAAATATTTGAAACTTCCACCAAAAAAGGACTAATGAACTGACAGTCAATGTTATACAACACCAACAAAAATAATAAACTTCTATTACTAATACGTAACTACTATGACGTGCTCGACACTACTAACAACCAACAATAACAAGAAAGCAGCCGAAAGACCACAACAAAGTTCTATTTGCTGATTCACCAGAGTTCACCAGCATGGTTTGGGGCAACTAAGCGCACAGCTGACCGAAACCGCTATAAAAAATACAACAAAAGTGAGCAAAACTGCCATGAAATTGAATGAAATTGACAATCGCATTAATTTCGTGTGCAGAGTACAACAAAAAAAAAACTATAATAATAATAAAATAATCCATTGTGAAATGCAAAACAAACAATAAACAAATGCCACACAAATACACACACTCACACACATTGACAATTTACAATTGCCAAAGCGATTGGCAATTATCAATTACCGTTTTGTCAATTGTCCAGTGTCGATTACACACGTTGCAGTGTTGGCTGCGGAATATGGCTGTTGCAACTTGAATAACAAATTGGAAAATTCATAAAAAAAACAAACAAAAGTGAAAAATACCGCGCCCAACGCATAATAAATACCGATGGTTACTCACAGCTCACTAACTCAGCTTACATACTTACACAGTACGTGCATGGACGTATGTGTGTGTGTGTGGTTGTTTGGCGAATATATTTTTGATATTGTGGCACGTGCGCTAATGAGCCGATTGTTCGTTCGTAATAACGGTATTATATTTTTAGCGTGTGCCTAAAGTGGGCGTGACATGGCTAACGGTAAATAATTGCAAAACTTTGCTGACTATTAATCGATTACTCACGATCGATTGAGTCAAAGGCTTCCGGTTGTAGGATTACGTTTTTGTAATTTCCAAAAAAAAAACCGTTTATCCAAAACAAAATTTATTAATAAAAAAAAATATTAAAAATAATTTAAAATTATTTTATTAAGTTGAAAGTAATTGAGTTTAGCTGATTTGGTTGAATTGAGTGGAGCTAAGTTGAGTTTCATTCTGTTTAATTGAGCTGAGCGATACTGCTAATTAGTTGAGTTAAGTTCTCTTGAGTTGAGCTGCATTAATAAAGTTGAGTTTTTCTGAAATTTAAGGGTCAGAGTGGAGTTTAATTGAACTATGTAAAGTAGTAGTGGTGATGAGTTGAGCTAAGATGAGTTGAGTTAAATTCAGTGGAATGGAGTTGAAATGAGTTCACTTAAACTTTGAAGTCACAACTCTCATTGTGCAACATTCGTACTAAATGAGCTAATAAAACAAAATAACAGGTAAAATTTATTAACATTGTAGAGATGATTCTATGAAAGCTTCTGTCTGTTCGCTGGGAAATTCCCATCTGCATAAGCAAGCCTTCATCAACCACGACAAAGGCTCTAAAATGAAAATGACAGTTCAATACCTCAAAGTCTTTATAATTTTTATAAACTATGTAAAGAGGGTTCGTATCAGCAGTTTTCCACATCACGCTGGTGTTACTCTCACCTTCTACTATACTGAGGTATGTCCACACTGACTATCTACGTTTTTAAGAATCCAGAGCACCCTTCACAGTCTCATTTACCACGCTGTATTTAAACTCAAGAGCAGAGCAGTACTCAAAATTTTCCCGATTTCACAATGCAATAATGAGCTTGATCAATATTCTCTTACCTTAATGCTTAGGACGCCAGTGGTGGCTGTAAGAAGCGTATATGTCTTCCCGATTGTCGTCAGAGATAGTTTTTCATATTTAGAAACTCATTCAATACCTACCCTTATTATTTATCTGAAGAAAAGCAAGAAAGGAAATCATACGTTACATATGTATGTACATCGAATTGACAACTTAAAAAATATTGAACTTCAGAAATAACATTCCAAAATTTTCAAAATGTAAATCAAAATTTCCCAGACATGGCGAGCGATGCCAAGAAAATGAGCGTTACAGGTAATAATCATATGGTCTTCATTAGCATGTTTTAAATTCGCATCCATCTATCTTTAACTTCCCCAGCATCGTACTCAAAGCGCACATTATCGTCCTCTGTAGCAGGCAGCACACTCTTCCAGTCGGAGTTGATTTACTACACCGCAAAAACGCAGCAAACGAAAAATTTTGTCATCTCACCAATCTCGCTACGCTCACTGCTTACCATACTCAGCATAGCAGTCATACGCGATCCCCATGCCGAGATACTCACTGTACTAGGCATGAAGAGCACACACCAGGGAATTCAAGAGTACAAAGGTTGCCGCAATGCAAGCCGAGATGACTTCACTTTCTCCCTACACAACAGCATTTATCTGGATGTACGCTTCGAGATCGATTTGACCTTCAAAACCATCTGCTTAGAGCAATTCCAAACTCGACCGATAAATTTAACATTCGAAAATCGCGAAGACGTCGCACGTAATGTGAACGAGTGGATTGCCGAACAGACCGAACAACAGATTAAATCGCGCATCACTATTGACACGCTGGACGCTATGCAACATAATTTATTTGTGAACATTGCACACTTTGAGAGTAAGTGGCGGAAGACTTTTCCCAAAAAATTTCTCGCTAAAGGAGATTTTTGGTTGACACGCACCGAGAAGATCTCAATCGATATGATGCACGACTTTTGTGAGCTCCAAGTAGGAGATTTCGACGATTTGAAGGTCACAGCAATGTTGATTCCCTATCGCAATATGGATGTTAAACTATTGATCTTGCTGCCCAAAGAAATAGATGGGCTGGTAAAACTGGAGCAGGAACTCAAGGATCAGCGCGTGGACTTAACTTCACTGATGACAATGATGAAGGCGAAAAATGTGAAGTTAGGGCTGCCACGGCTCAAACTCGAAACTAATCTGTTAATGAACGAAGTGCTGATGGAGGTGAGTATAGTTGAAATGAGGGGTGGGGACTAAAAATAAGGAAACTTACGAAATTCTCTTTGGAAGATGGGCATCAGAGCCATATTCAAAGATTCTATAGACTTCACCCGCCTGCTAGCCGTATTCAATGTTATGAGAATATCGCAAATTAGACACATATCAGCGATTGAGTTCAATGAAGAGGGCACTAGCGCTGCTGTCACCAAAGGTAAGTCATAATTCATTTATAATAAAAAACTAATAGATGTACTTGATGAAGATATTTTTTGTTTTTCGTTCATTCCAAATAGTGTCGTTTCTATTGACGGAAATGGAAAACTGCACCGTTATAAACATCGATCGCCCATTCTTCTTCGCTGTATTGGACCTAGAGCGCATTTACTTTGGCGGCCATATAACGAACACGAGTAATTTTTTAACGTGAGGGCTATATGCATTTACGAACTTACACAAATGTTTACAAATACAAAAATATAAATTATTTATGTACGAATACGTATCTACTGGGAATTAATCGCCGAGAGCTCTTTCAAATACGTACAGCCCAACTGCTTTGTGTTGGGTTCAGAAAGAAGTTTGGCCAAGATGAGAGCCTTAGAGCTCGCTGCGTGTAAGCTTACCGAGAAGGAAGCACATCTCTATTAAACTAGAGTCCTGGTATAACTTTGCCTGATAAGAGCTATGACGAACTCCGAATCAGGATTGGGTGTACCGCAAGACTGTTGGTACTATTGTTCGAGCTCCGAAGCCCTGACGTTGGGTTCGTCACAGAGCAGCATGCTGGAAATTTAGAAACTTCTTTCAGGAGATATTGCAGAATGATAAATAAGGAGGCAGACAATTGATTGTTCACCATCAGTATGTTTAACACAGCCGATAAGTGAGCTTCGTAAGCTACTTTTCTGGATAAATAGCTATCCGGGAACAACGTAACCAATCTAACAAGGTTCATAGATAAAACTAAATGCAGAATACAGCTTAGAACCCATAATCCATGGGGTGAAATCCCTATTGAATTTCCTATTAATAGCACCAACCTTTTTAACCTTCAACTTTTCATTTAAAGCAGTAAAAAATGAAAACTTTCAAAGAAAATTTTCTTGTTTTCCTCAACTAATTACACAAGAATGTGAGAGAGAGCCCAAGATTGTGTTTGCACAAAAAAGAGACACACAAAAACAGAGAGTTTTTGCAAGCATGTGGCATGCGATGGCTCATTAGCATGCAGACATAATAATAAGGCAACTTTGTATATGCCACAACAAACACAATAACCAGGATTGCCTTCGCCAGTTTTTGTATGTCAACTACACACACATACTCACACAAGCACAAGCAGCTCATGCAACTCTCTTTCTGTTTCCGCTTTCCCCACATGCAATAGAAGAAGAAGAAGAGGCAGAAGATGCACAAGCAACCAGGCAGGGGGCGAGTGCATGAAGTTGGCTGCCTTTGGTGCCTCATGGCGTTGCTTCATGACAAGACAAGAAAACAAAAGTCAATTAACTCATTTCCGTTGTGTTAGCATTGTTGCTATTTCTTGCTGTTGTTGTTGCCGCCACCAACGCTTGTTGTTAGCATGATTAACGGCATATTGTACAAAGTTAAAGAGAGAGAGCGCGAGGGAGTACGACTGAGAGTGAGGCATGACGCGGTTGCATTGTTTGTAGTTGTATAATTTATGGCGACTGCTTGCCACCTGCATACGTGCATACTCGTATGCACATAAATGCACATATAAGCATACACAGACATATAATTACAACATGCCATATGCACATTCTTTAGTTTAACGGTATTTATGAGCGGCGTTAAACTTTCATCAGCATACAAAATGAAATACCTGAAGGATATTTTAGAACACCCACACACACACACGCACAAACGCAAGTTTATAAATATACCAAATGTGTTTGGGTGTGTGTGCGTGTGTATATTAGTGTGCATCATTTGCACTCGTGTCTGCATTTCCGGCATTGAAAAGTTCATGTTTCGCTTCGCACACACACACAGGCAAACTCAAACTGAATAAAATTCACATACATTTCTATGCATATGTTTGTGTGCGTCTCTCCGCCCTCACCCCCACCACTCCGGCTAGTTGGCTTGCTCATCACCAACTTTTGGCAACGAACTTTTCCGCTTTCACTGCAAATTTTACATTGTGAACTGCGCATTTGACAAGCTCCATTGCTGCTGTTGTTATTGCTGTTGTTGTTTGCATGCATCATAAATATATTATTACATATATAAATAGACGCGTATGCATATGCATACTTTGTTTGGCTCAAATCTGTTGTAATAGTGAATTTATTGAAATTAATGATGCTTCATTACGCGCATCACTGCGGCATGTTCACTGGCTGCGGCGGCGAGTGTGTGGGTGAGCTTATAAAAATAAGTGCATGTGTGTGAGTTATGCTATTAGTTTATATGTGCTACTAACTTGTAGTTTGCAGTTTGTGAATAGTGTTTGTATGTGTGGTTTTTAATTAAGTTCTCGGTAAATATATTCGTGGCTTTGGTTTCGAAAGGCTTCATCGCAGCGCGAGGGTTAAATGGTATGTGCTTATGTATGTACGAGTAGGTACATATTTTGAAAAATTAATTAAATTTTTTACTCTGCTCAATGCAATGCATGTGAGGTAGAGATTCCATGAAGCTTTAGCTTCGTATTTTTACAGATTTATTTTTGTTCTACATTTAAAGCATAGAAAGCATGAGTTTAGGATCATGAGAAACACGGGTGTGTGCAAAAAATTTAATAAATTTTCATTTATCTCAAAAAATATTTATTTATTCATCAGTTTTTATTTTGAACCCTTCAAATAGTCCATATAAAATACTTGTGCCGGATTTATCCCATTTTCACGAATCAAATTTGAAATGTATTTTTCGAAATGCTCTTAAGCTCCTTCAGCGATTGGATTGTTAAGTCTTTAATCGTCAGAAAATGCCTTCTTTCATGATTAATATGATTAATATTTCTAAATCCATCGGTCTTTCGAAAGCGGCTGAAAATAAAACGATGGATGATAGAAGAGGAGCTCGACCGAAAATCGCTTCAGCGGTTACAAAGCGCCAATTCTTTATATCGGAGCACTTGGGAACAGTCTCACACATGTATTATCTTAATTTTTTAACAGTGAAGATAAATAGAAATAAATTTCTTTCCCAATTAGTACCAATATTTATACAACGCCTCCACTCCACGTCTCCATTTCTACAAAAGCAACACAGACTTTCGCCACCATCAGACATTAACAAATGCAAACAAAATTTCGCTGCGATACTTTTATCTCATCAGCGCAATCTCAGTTTTTATCTCAAAATCATAAAGAAGACTTTAGTGAGCGGCAAGTGCTCCCCAACATGCTTTCTGCTCTTTTCAATAAGTTCAGCCTAATTAATTGAGCTCTTTTGCTTAAGACAATCGACAAATGCACTCAGCGTATATGCAAGCAATGAATGCCAGCGAAATGTGCAAAATTACAAGTAAAATGCCGATTTTATGCATTCATAACAACGCCGATTTAAGCCGCTCAAGTTAATGAGCCTACGTAAAAGGCTTTTCTTGTAAGCGAACCCACCACGCACGCACGCGCCAAACTGCATGAACGACGGCAATTTCCTGCAAAAGAGGCGACAGAGATGCCTACATACACGTATGTATGTGAAATCTGGCCACCTTGGAAAGAAGCGCCACAGCTACGACAGAGAGCTGCTTTGCGGTGCGCACATTTTGTAATTTCCGCTGCCGCAACACTAATCGCATCACTCAATTATTGTAATCCTTTCAGATGAATGCAGCATATCTAAGGCGCATACAAAAAGCCGCGCGGAAGGTACAATACATAGGTGGGCGGTTGGTAAGCTAGAGGTACCAAAGTGCAGGCTCTTACGTATATGTACATATATGTAGCTACATTGGTGCCACACACGTGCCACATCGTAAACTAATTGAAATTATGGCATTTTAACGTTCGCAGCTCGGACAGCGCATGCACCGCGCGCTGCAAACAGCAAATTTGGACAGCAGAAGGTGTAAAAATGCCTTGAATCTTGCTGAAATCAGCTTACATGCACGTAAGTACGCTTTTGCTGTTAATAGGCATGCCAATAAAGGTTGTAACCACAAGAAGAGCAACAAAAATGGCGCAGCACTTTCGATATTATCGACATCGAAGATCTTAAAGAGTCTTTTTGACCGTCCACCCAGCCTAAACAACTTGCCACATGGCTAAATAGGCGTCAACGTTGGCTTGCTGCAACGATCTGCTGCTGCGCAACAACAGTAGTTGCGGCGATATTATCACCAACATAAATAAATGCGTTTGTGAACAGCAAATTGACGCGCCTCTCGCTCGAAGCTAAGCTCAATAAATTAGCTATTTCACGACCAAGCGGCATATTAACGTAAATGAACACTCGCGCACACAAACGTTTTCGTTCACAGGCAGGTATTTGTCTGATTTTTCGATAAGCTTCGCTTAGCCGCTAGCAATAGCAAAAACAAAAACGCGCAACTGCTGTGCAACACAAATTATGGCAATTTACTATGACAAAAGTTGTTTAGCCAATTTCATGCTGTGCCTGTTGCAACAACAAAGCGCAACAATCGCCTATTGCTACTTGCCACATACCATATGCCGCTTTGTTGCTGGCAACTGCATACAACTAATGAATTGTGATGTTTATTAGCTAATGCATTGCGGCAATTTTACACCAAAAATGCCAATGAAAATCACAGTTGCACACATACATATATATTAGGCTGTATTGAGTTGTTGATGAGTTGATGAGGCTATATATATTGCGAATGCGATATTACAAAAATTAGTAAGCTAATCTCTAGAGAGAGTACACCAGTATTAGTTGGAAATGGTTATAATAGAGCAACAACTTAAAGAAACTAATCCCAAAATGTTATAATTAAGGGTATTCAAACCTTGACGATCGAAAACTATATTGTTAAATATAAATGTGTTTTATTTTATTTTATGTATTTTTTTTCAATTTATTTTCGGTTGTTTTATTTAATGTTTTTTTTATTTTATTTTTTTTTTTACTTTCCTTAATTGTAATTTATTAATTTTATTTTTGTGCTTATTTTATTTTATTTTATTTTATTTTATTTTATTTTATTTTATTTTATTTTATTTTATTTTATTTTATTTTATTTTATTTCCTTTTATTTTATTTATTTTTTTTATTTATTTTATTTTGTATTACTTTCATATTGTTTATTTCGAATGGCCATTGAAAGAAGAATTTCCTGCTGGGTTCTACTGTATGTATATTTCTATGTATGCTTTTGTGCAGCGATTGATTTTTGCACTCACGAATTGTATTAAATTGACGTGCAAATCATTAGTGTTAATTTATTGTTGTAGTTATAAGTTTTTGTGCGCATACATACATACCTACATACATACAAACATACATACATACATATCTATTCAACTATATCTGTTTTCAAGGTGATGAAAACCGCTGATAGTAAATAAGTA